ATATCCAATCAGGGATTCTTCGGCCCACCTGGTACACACGTTGAGGGATTTTCATCCAGAAGTTTACCAAATTTGTTTACAATACTTCACAGCCAAAAATTATTTACTAGAAAATCTAAAATATTGCCCATCTAATTCCTGGAACTTAAATATTGAAAAAAAATTATTTATAGACATATTTCGCTTAGCAAAAACCACCCTAACTACCACCTGAATTTTATAATCCCCAATTTTTATTCTAAAAATATATTTCCACGTCTGTTTATTTTTCGTTCTGCATGCTTTCAGAAACTAAATTTAATTACAATTTTCCCTCGAAGAGCTGCTGATGATGTAGTAGAAAAAATAATTAATTTTGCAATTTTATTTATTTTCTTATAAATCGCTAAAGAAAATATTCACCAGAAACGAACAACGAAACTACAGGCTGGAAATAATAATTAATAAACGGCTAAACGTGAAACATAAACAATAATAAATATTTTTTTTGAAATGTAAACAGAAGTAAGAAAAAGAATACAAAAGAAATATTGAGATGTTCAAGGAATCAAAAGGCGAATGATTGAAATAGACGAGGTAGGGAAAGCTATTTAACGGAAGCGAATATAATCAGTAGATTGGGGAAAAAGGAATTTTAAATTTTATTATTCGGGACCTTCAGAAATGTATGATCCGAAATATAAAATTTTCCTTATGTTTCAATTAGTAACAAAGTTTTTTCAGCCAACAAAAATCAAAAATATATAATTACAGTCAATTGAAGAATGTGTCGGAAATCCGCAAGTTACCGAAAAGAGGGTAGGGTCTAGTATAATTCCATTTCAAATCTGAATTGAGGCATTTCGTTTTATATTTGTATGCAGATTTCTGACAAAATTCTGAACTTTTGTATAAATCACGCGAACCGATTTATTATCCATTGATTGCGGATATTTATGAAGATACAGTCTAAAACGGGCTTTGCTATCCCTTTAGCTGTCGATGTGTCAACTAGGTGGCGTTTATGATCAGAAAAATTAGTTGCGTTATGAATTTATGTCGCTAAATTCCTGGTCCAATATCCTTCTTTAATCGGAAGATTAATTGCAATAATTTGTCGTTAATGTCAGTTTTAAGAGCTGATATGTGCCGCGAATTCACCCATAAGAACTATAAAAAAGGCTTGAGGCGTCAGGTTTCCAATACTATGCAAAACAACGAGAAAGAAAATCAAACCCCCCAATGTTGAGGACCCCCGCAAACGTAAAAAAAGACCACGATCTGCGAATCTGTCCGGTTATACAGAACAGGCGCAGATTTCGCTTTGGCGGATATTACTGCCTTAAAAGGAATGCGATGGAAATGGACTGACGTAAGTAAATCAGATGATTACGCCCTGTATTATAGCTGCCATGAAACGATATATGAATTTGGCTGCGAATTTATGGTTAATAGGAGAATAAAAGACCTCGTCTTCAGGTTTACTCCAGTAGATCAGCGAATTGCTGTAATCCGTAAGCGAAGTTCTTCTATATCAGTCTTATTTGCACCCATGTTCCGACGGAAGACAAAGATGAACAGACCAAAGACATTTTTCAAGATCGTGTATAAACAACATATGACCACTGCCCTGGTCATGACATTAAAATTCTGCTAGGAGATTTTTATGCAAAAATAGGAAGGGAAAATATGTTTGGTCCCCCCCGGTGGAAATTTCAGGCTCCATGAAGTGGTTGATTGATTTCGCGGCAGCAATATACATGGTAGTTAGCAGCACCAGATTCATGTATCTCGATATACACAAGGCCACCTGGATTTCTTCTGATCAAGCAACTAAAAATCAAATTGAACATGTTGTGATTGATGGAAGGCATTCATCCAATGTTTTAGACGTTCGATCGATATGAGGAGTGGATATCCATTCGGACCACTACAATGGCAAAAAATTGCCACTCCCTACAAACTGCAGCAAAAGCAACAATTGGGTACCAAAAACCACCATCGAGAAACCTATGGTACGATTAGGAGTGTCGTAATACTACTGACGTGAAAAACGCAGCGTATAGGGCAATCCTGCAGACAGTAGCAACACGTAATGCGATGGAGAATTATCGGGAGAAAAGGAGAAACGTATTTTCAGAAGAAAGAACAAGAAGAACGTGAGCGTGAGCAAATCGAGATTTACAGGAGTCAGAATGAAATCCGGAAATTTTACCAACAAGTAAAACACCAAACCGAAGGCTTTGGTGCAGGCACATCCATTGTAGAGGTGAATAAAGGAACCTGGTGACAGATACAGACAATCTGCTGAGGATCTGGAAGGAACATTTTGAAACGCCCAGAATCAATAATAAATGACGGTATAGAGTGTATGCCACCTAGCCTAGATGAGGTCAGAATAGCAATCAATCGGCTAAAGAATAATAAAGCAGCAGGTGTCGATGGGTTACCAGTCGAACTATTGAAGACTGGTGGTTAGATGCTGGTAAAGAGCATGCACCGGTTGATTAGTACAATTTGGCTAGAGGAATGCGTGCTCAATGATTGGAATTTCAGCATGCTATGTCCTGTGCACAAAAAAAGGTGACAAGACGATATGGGCTAACTATTGAGGAATTAGCCTTCTTCCAATCGCATATAAAGTGCTCTCCAATGTGCTGTGTGAACGACTGAAGCCAATTGTCAATGACATTATTGGTCCATACCAATGCGGCTGCAGACCAGATTTTCAATCTGCGCCAGATCCTGGAAAAGACCCACGAAAAACACATCGACACATTCCACCTATTCGTCGATTATAAAGCCGCTTTCGACAGCCTTATCTGTTCATAGGTAATTGAAGCCATGTCTGCGTTCAGCATTCCTGCAAAATTAATACGGCAATGCAGGATAACTTTGATTGGCCAAAAGGCCAGCAGTTAAAGTCGGAAAGGACCTCTCGGAGCCCTTCAATATCGAACGAGGATCCAGGCAAGGTTACACTTTGTCGTGTGACCTGTTAAACATTCTGGAAAAGGTCATACGAGATGCAATTGTGAACATAAATGGCACAAACAACACATTGTACTCGTCTACTCCGACATAATGGGTCGAACATTGCGAACGGTAACAGCCACCTTTGAACGAATCGAGAAGGAGTCTGCCAAAGTGATTCTGGCAGTAAATGGCGAGAAGACCCAACTGATGGTGTTAGCACGCAAGACGTCCAGTAGACTCGGACCAAACGTGGGGCTTGAAAACTACAGCTTCGAGGTAGTGAACGATTTTATACCGCCATAAATAAAACTAATTACCTCAGCTTTGAAATCCGGATGAGAATTGTGTTTACCAACAGATGCTATTAGGGTCTGAGTAAGTAACTCAAAAGTAAGGCCACCTTTCGCCAGACCAAACTCACACTCTACAAGACGTGTATGGATCTGAAGCATGGTTACAGATAAGGCAGCTCTTGAACAAAGGGTGTCTGAAAAATTCTCTGGAAGATCTATGGGCTGATCTGCGTCCAATGAACCATGAGCTATACCATCTATTCTCGGACATCGACATATTCAGACGGATCGAGCTTCAGTGACTTCGTTGGCAAGGTCCTGTTGTGAGAATGAATGGAACTTAAAAGACATATACAAGCGAGCCTGCGTGAACCAGAAGGTGAAGGCCACATTTCGGAACATGGTCTTTCAAATTGTTATTGAAAGCCAGCTAAGTAAGTATCAGTTTTAAGAGATTAAAGTCTTTGCTTACAATCAGGCTGTGATGAGTACGCTAGGTGGAGTTGTTGATCACTAAAATAAATGGTATTTTAAATTTAATTAATCCGTTTGCATTTCATTGTGGTCTTCTGAATTTCCTTTAGCTATGCCACGAATAAATAAAATCCCTTAATTTTTCATATTTTTGGAATTTCCCGATAATTATAAAACAAAATTAAATCGTTTTGGTAATGATGCCTTGATTTCCAAATCTTTAAATTTTTTCCAAAAATTACCATACAATCCTCCTACATTTCTTCCACTTTTATTAAAACATTATTAAGGCAATGATGAGGTGCTTGTGTGTTATTTTTAACAAGAATTATTGATGTTTATTGTTTACAAATGTTTATACATTAATTTTTGGCAAATTTTCAGTTTTTCTCAATTTTTTGGAAAAATTGAAAACAAATTTCGGCTAACAAAAAATGTAAACATGTACGTGAAATAATTTTGGAAAAAAAAAAATTATCTGGAACAAGGTGTTCATAGAAAAAATCTCCTATAAATTATTTGGGATTTCAAGGGAAATATCCTTCAAATAATTATCCGATTTTTTTAAGATTTTCTTTGAAAATTTAACAGATTTGTGAATTTCTTTCTGGAATATCTTATCTAATTAATGATCCATTTGATTTATATCTTCCAAAGAAAAATAAAATCTGTTCTATGTCAAAGTCAAAATGAAAGACCAAACAAAAACTATTGACAGTTTGAGCGTGTGGGGTCAAGGCGAAAGAAAAATATTTATTTTAATTTTTGTTATTCCGAATTACAATTAGGGGCCATGATGAGGGGGACTCTCACTCCCCCAAAAAATAAGACCCAAATAGTTTTGCTATTGAATTGTTGTTATTTTTAATCAAAATAATTACTGGAGGCATTTGTCTTCGAGTGTGCCATCTCAAGTAGCTGCTGAAATAAATGCTTAGCATCATTTGATGATAAATGTTTTTTTTTTGTTTTTCATATGGTAATTCATTTTTTCGTTCAATTTCAAGTATTGAAATTTAGAAGCAAAAATGTTTATATATTAACAAATCACAAGGAAAACAACAACACCATCACCCTCTAGAGATGACCAGTAATAGTCGCATTTATTGTGGTTTTTGTTGTTGTTTTTTATTATATTTGTTTATTTTTAAAGTCATTATTTTAATTTCGAATTACTCTTCTAATTAGTTTGGCAATTAATTTCATTATTTTCGTGGTCGCTGTTGTTGTTGTTGTTATTTTAAAAATTAAATATTGAAAATTTATTTGTTTACTCACCTTTACAGACTCGTCGATGATTCAATGGCTTGCTGGGATCCCGATAGAAACCCTCTTTGCAATAATGACAGTGGCGACCCGTTGTCGAGTGTCGACAATTTGTGCACACACCACCCGACACACGTCCGGACAATTTGAAAAGTTCCATATTGAAGCGACATTGGCGGGCGTGATTGTTGCAATTGCAAACTGGAATGATGAAGAAACACAAAAACAAAAACAACAATTAGATATGAAAATAAATAAATGCCGATTCTTTTGAAGAAATAAAATAAATATAAATATTTAGAATTAAACAAAAAACTAAATTTTGAATTTTTTTCTATTAAAAAAAGCAAATGTCTTGGGGTCTCCGAAATTTTTAAAAAAAGACCTGGGGTCTCAGGATTTTTTCTACAGAAGAAAACCAAAGACCTGGGGTCTATGCAATTTTCCTATAAACCAAACCAAAGACCTGGGGTCTCTGGAATTTTTTCTATAGAAAAAAGCCCAATGACCTGGGGTCTCTGGATTTTTTTTATGGAAAAAACCAAAGACCTGGGGTCTCTGGAATTTGTTCTATAGAAAAAACCAATGACCTGTGGTCTCTGGAATTTTTTCTATAGAAAAAACCAAAGACCTGGGGTCTCTGGTATTTTTTCTGTAGAAAAACCAAAGACCTGGGGTATCTGGAATTTTTTCTGTAGAAAAGAGCCCAAAGATCTGGGGTCTCTGGATTTTTTTCTATAGAAAAAAGCCCAAAGACCTGGGGTCTCTGGAATTTTTTCTATTAAAAAAAACCCAAAGCCCTGGGTCTCTGGAATTTTTTCTATAGAAAAAGGAATTTTTTCTATAGAAAAAACCAAAGACCTGGGGTCTCTGGAATTTTTTCTATAGAAAAAACCAAAGACCTGGGGTCTCTGGAATTTTTTCTATAGAAAAAACCAAAGACCTGGGGTCTCTGGAATTTTTTCTATAGAAAAAAGGCCAAAGACCTGGGGTCTCTGGATTTTTTTCTATAGAAAAAAGGCCAAAGACCTGGGGTCTCTGGATTTTTTTCTATAGAAAAAGGCCAAAGATCTGGGGTCTTTGGAATTTTTTCTATAGAAAAAACCAAAGACCTGGGGTCTCTGGAATTTTTTCTATAGAAAAAACCAAAGACCTGGGGTCTCTGGATTTTTTTATAGAAAATCCCAAAGACCTGGGATCTCTGGAATTTTTTCTATAGAAAAAACCAAAGACCTGGGGTCTCTGGAATTTTTTCTATAGAAAAAATTAAAGACCTGGGGTTTCTGGAATTTTTTTCTATAGAAAAAACCAAAGACCTGGGGTCTCTGGAATTTTTTCTATAGAAAAAAACCAAAGACCTTGGGTCTCTGGATTTTTTTATAGAAAATCCCAAAGACCTAGGGTCTCTGGAAACTTAAAGACCTGGGGTCTCTGGATTTTTTTTCTATAGAAAACACCAAATACCTGTGGTCTCTGGAATGTTTTCTGTAGAAAAAACCAAAGATCTGGGGTCTCTGCAATTGTTACCATAGAAACAAACCAAAGACCTAGGGTCTCTGCAATTTTTTCTATAGAAAAACATTTTAATACCTGAATTTTTATAAAAAATTATTACCAATTTTCTTTTATTTCATTTATTTATGTAATTATGTTAACCCATAAAAATGCCTATGACATAATAATACCTATTTGACATTTACATTTTTACAACTTAAATGAAAACCATTAAAAATTAATCTCAAAACGATATTAAGATTTATATTTCAATTCGTTGTGGTTGATAAAATAAAATAAAAAACCACTTGATCACATTTGGTTACAGTAAAGCCCACCTGAACTAGTTTTGAATTTGTTCCCCCTTCTTTCTTTGGTCGAAGCCATGCCGTTGTGTTTTGGCCCAATATGTAAACATGGCTTAGACAATTTGTTAACTAGATATTAATTTTTTTTAATACCATATCATAAATATTTACCTAAACAATTTGCATATTATCAGTTAAAAAATAATAATAATAATTTAAATAAACATGTTTGGAGCGTGATTTCGAGAAGTGTGATTCCAATGAAAAGTAGCGAACTGATGATAACACAAAAAATATTTGAATGAAAATAAAAAAGAAATAAAATAATTTTTAAGGCCATAATTTTTAATTTTTTGTTGATTTTAAAATCACAATCACAAATAGACATCATATTTGGCATATGTTTGGAGAGATTATGATTTTATTGATTTCAAAAATGTTTGTATGATTTTGAAACCATTGACATAACATCTGTCGTATTCGGATTAATATCTTATGACTTGTGGGTGTATTTTGAATGTTTTGGGTTTTATGTAATTATGACAATAAAAAAATAGCCTAAAAAATCCAAATCACAAATTATATTCAATGGAATTTGAGTGTGTGTTGATCTCTCTTCATTGTTGTGGTCGGCAAAAGAATTTTAATTGTCGTCATAAAAATAAATCATACTTGTTTTTAATAATAACATCAAATGTTGTTTTTTTTTTAAATTTTATAGTGACAAGAATGACAAATTGGCATCATAAATATTGAGATGTTTTGGTTATCAAATAATACAAAATTTAAATCAATCTGATGAAAAAATTATAAAAAAACATAATTTTTTAAAATTTTGGTAAGGGAAAACAAAGACCTATGGTCTGTGAATTTTTTTCTATGGAAAAAAACTAAAGACCTGGGGTCTGTGAATTTTTTTCTATGGAAAAAAACTAAATTTTTTTTCTATGGAAAAAAACTAAATTTTTTTTCTATGGAAAAAAACTAAAGACCTGGGGTCTGTGAATTTTTTTCTATGGGAAAAAAACTAAAGACCTGGGGTCTGTGAATTTTTTTCTATGGGAAAAAAACTAAAGACCTGGGGTCTGTGAATTTTTTTCTATGGGAAAAAACTAAAGACACTGGGTCTGTGAATTTTTTTCTATGAGAAAAAACTAATTTTTTTATGGAAAAAAACTAAAGATCTGGAGTCTGTGAATTTTTTCCTATAAAAAAAACTAAAGACTATGGACAAAACTGAAGACCTGGGGTCTTTGATTTTTTCTATAAAAAACTAAAGACCAGGGGTCTGCGATTTTTTTTTCTATAGAAAAAACCAAAGACCAGGAGTCTGCGAATTTGTTTCTATAGAAAAAAACAAAGACCTGGAGTCGGTGAATTCTTTTCTCATTTATTCTGTCCATTTTAAAACTATAGTCAAAATTTCCTCATACACCAAGACCTTTAAATATTTTCTTATAAATATCTTTCCCAATTTTTTGTTTACTCTACCACCAATGGTCATTCTTCTCCAAATGATCCGAAATAAAAAAAAACTTACATCAGCCATAACAATTACATTTAATGGTCCGGCAACTAAATTGTTTCTACCTCACAGTCGGATTCTAATTTTATTAAACAATTACTTTCTGTGATTGCTAAATAAAATATCATTTGATTTCCCAACAAATTGAAATGCTCTGCTTTACGAAATGTGTACTACAAAATGTACACACCATCCCACCACCTCCCATTGGTCGTCGTCGTCGTGCATTAATGTTTTCAATTACCTTGTTATGGTCTTACAATATATCTTCAACAGAAAATTGCCATCTCAGATAAAGAAAAACGAGCATTCCTTTGTGGCTGTTTTTTTGCTATATGGCCTTCTCTGGAAATCTTTTTCTCACAATTGTCGAACAACAAATCATTTTCCAAATAAGTCCAACGCATCAAATATCAATCAATCAAGAAATGACAAATTAAGTTTATTGCCGCTCAGATGATGGGTTTGGAAGGTAGAGGAGGACAGGCAATATGGTAGAAACACTGCAATAACCATTTACCTACAAATAAGTGACATTTCAGGTTCTGCAGGCCAAATACACCTTCTCCATACAGAGAAAAATACAGGGCAGGGTTTCCAACACAATTTTCCAGAGAGCAGTGAAATATAATATTGAGAAAAAATCCAAATTTAGAAAATTATTTTCTAAAGAGAAGAAGTCTCTCGAGAAAAAAATTATCATATTTTTCTATAGAAAAAATTCCAGAGACCCCAGGTCTTTGGTTTTTTCTATAGAAAAAATTCCAGAGACACCAGGACTTTGTTTTTTTCTATAGAAAAAAATCCAGAGATCCAAGGTCTTCAGTTTTTTTCTATAGAAAAAATTCCAGAGACCCCAGGTCTTTGGTTTTTTCTATAGAAACAAATTCCAGACACCCCAGGACTTTGGGTTTTAAAGAATGCGGCAATCCCATTGCTCCCCTGAAACTCTCTATGGAGTTTGACAAGTTAACAACAATTTGTTTTTCTTTTTGTTGTTGTATTTTCTTTCCATACCAATATGGAAGTGCGTTTAATTTTTTTCTTTCACTCTAACCTCAAAACCAACTCCCCGAAAGAAGTCGAAGTCCAAGAAAAAAAGAACTGCTAAAAAAACCACTTCCATTTCTTGGCAATGATTTACACCGACAGAAATGATGACAATTTGTCAATGGCATGATGACAGGTTAGTTAAACGACAGAAAAAAACGAAACGTTTTATGAAGAGAGCCTTTCCAATGGTATGGGTTATTAAACCTTGTCGTCGGTGGCGTTGGCGAAACTTGTCAAGGTAATACCTTGCCAAAGATGTAAAAGAAAGAAAAGCAATAGAAATGGAAACAATTACCTTTCACATCCCAAGTCAAATATTTCAAATCTTACTGATATTTGCATATTTGTTGCTAAAATGGATTCCGTATGTGTAAATTATTCAAAATTCCGTTCATTGTTATTGACGGTCTGACAATAATCATAATTGGTTTTTTTTTTTGGTGGGATGGAAGGGAACGAGGGAGGTTTTAGAAATTGAAAAAACAGATAAAAAATAAAATATATAACAATTTTAATAGAGATTCTAAGTACAGTTCGAATTGGCGATCAAGGAACCGGCGAAACTGGTTACTATATATCCGATCGTCTTTATAAGCGGTACCTAAGTAAAGACGGAGTCTTTTTCGGGTCTTTAAAATATCAAGTGTATAGGTATAGAACCGCTTTCCTCCGCCATAATCTGAAACCATATTTTATTAATCTTTTTAAATTTCCACCTCTCTCCAAACCACTCCCCGTTCACTTGAATTTCTTGCAATGACATTCCAACATAAATTCGCAATGTTTATTACAACGGCTTTTGTCAGTAAAACTCAGCCGGAAAAACAATATCTGCTTAATTTCCTATTTTCCACCTAAAGAAAAGAAAATTGGTTATGGGAATGGTTTATTTTCAAGCATAAACACCAATCGATCTTTTTTCTTTTTCCAATTCCAATGGAATTTTCTGTGGGGTGTTAAGACTGCATTTTTTGGGGCCAAGTTGCGTGTGGCTTTCTCAGTAAGACATAAACGAATACACACACGCTTGGGTGTTAGAAACACTCAAAACATGTTATTTGCAAGATTTTCGGGATAATAACACACTTTTAAAGTTTACACTACCACACACACACCTATTGCGGCATACAGTTTCTTCTTCCATTTATTCAATCCAACACCTCTACCATTTTCATCTAAAACAGCTGACTGCAAGATTTAGACATTAATGAAGATTTATGAGGGAAAAATCAAAAACTGACTGCTTAGCTGGTTGGCTGGCTTTATTTTCATATCAAATCGTTCAATTCAATTCCATACCCCGCTTTTGAGGCATATTTTTTCTGTAGTCAAGCCTAAAGTGAAAATTTATGCAGATTTCCTTCGATAGCAACAACACCAACAAAACAAATCAAATTCATTGACTATGGCGTTAGCTATTTGTTTGACTGTCTGCTTAATCTCGGCTCTGTTGTTTTAGCCTTTAATGCCATGGCTGCTGGTCATGGTGTGTTGTCGGTCTGTCTGCCGGCCACACGCTATCTTTCGACATTAATGAGCAGTTAGTGACCACCGGATATTTAAATTGTTGTTGAGATTTGATTCGATATTTTGTTTAATATTGACTTCTGTTTTTTTTTTTTTTTTTTTTTTTTTTGGGAAATTTATTCATAAATTTTGGGAAGTTAGGTGAGGTTAGGCAAGATAAGCTTCAGTTTTTTGGGGAGGGTATTTATTTTTATACGCTACAGGGGTTAAAGTGGGAAATATAGGAAGATTTTTTATAATTGTTTTTTTAATAAAAAGGAATTCCGCTTTGCAAGAATTTTTATTATATAGAAAAAATATGAGTTTCAAGGATTTTTGGATACATTATAACACAGGGAATTTTTCCTATAAAAGAAAAATGAGAGAACTGTAATCTTCTGACACTTTTGCTAAAAAAATATGAGAATAGGGATTTTAATAATTTTTCTTATATATAGGAAAATATAATACATTTGGTTATTTGAATTTTTCATATATAACAAAAATATGAGACCTTAATATTCAGGATTAAGAGTCCTGGGAGCTCAGGAATTTAATCTATATATGTGGTTAAGGCCTAAGTTTATATGGACAAAATTCCTGTCTCATTTGTTTCCAAATGGAAATAATTTTAACCTGATGTTTTTATCAATAATATATAATCGGAATTCCCCATCGGTGTTAAGAATTTGTCCTATATAAGGAGGTAATAGGGCCAAAGGTTTCAGGAATTTTTTTTCATGTAGGTTATATAGGAATTTATGTCAAATATAGGAAAAATATGAAACTGAGAACAACATTTTAGACCTAATATCTCAGGAAATGTTCTTATTTAAGCAAATATAATACTTGAGTTCCCAGGTGTTTTCAATATAGGAAGAGTATGAGACGTAAGGTTTGAGATTTAGTTTGCTATAAGAATATAAGAATGCTATAAGAATAGATTTCTGGAGTATCAGGATTATTACCTATGTAGGTAAAGTAGAATGCCTGTGATCCCAGAGATTTTTTTCAGTTTAGAATGTTATATGAACAAATAAGAAAATTTCACAAAAATTAGAAAAAAATCACAGACTTCAGGTTTTCACAGACCCAAGTACTTTAGGTCCTGGTCTTAAGTTTTTCCCTATAGAAAAAACACAGAATCCAGGTCTTTTGTTTTTTGCTATAGAAAAAACCCGAGACCCCAGGACTTTGGATTTTTTTTATAAAAAAAATTACAGACCCCAGGTCTTCTTTTCTATAGAAAAAATCCAAGACTTAATTTTTTCCATAAAAAACGCATAACCGAGGTCTTAAATATTTTTTATAGAGAAAAATCATAGACCGAGGTCTTAAATTGTTTTCTATAGAAAAAAATCACAGGCGCTAGGTCGTAATTTTTTCTATAGAAATTGTTTTTTAGAAATTTTTTCTATATAAAAAATCACAGACCCCAGTTCTTTGGTTTTTTTTTTCTATAGAAAAAATTATAGACCCCAGATATTTGGTTTTTTTCCTATAGAAAAAAATTCCTCAGACCCGTCGGGTCAATTTTTTGCTATAAAAAAAAAATCCAGAGGCCCGAGGTCTTTGGATTTTTTAAAGAAAAAAATCACAGACCCCAGGTCTTCTTTTCTATAGAAAAAATCCAAGACTTAAACTTTTTTCCATAAAAAAACGCAGAACCGAGGTCTAAAATTTTGTTTCTATAGAGAAAAATCACAGACGCGAGGTCTTAATTTTTTCTATAGAAAAAAATCTCATAAGCAAAGTTTTTGTTTTTTTCTATAGAAATTGTTTTTTGGAATTTTTTTTTCTATATAAAAAATCACAGACCCCAGTTCTTTTTTTTTCTATAGAAAAAAATTACAAACCCCAGATATTTGGTGTTTTCTACAGAAAAAATCACAGAACCGAGGTTTCAATTTTTTTCTTTAGAAAAAATCACAGACCCCAGTGTTTCACTTTTTTCTTTAGAAAAAATATCTAGAAAAAAAAATCATAAAAAATTCTGACCCCTGGTATTTTTCTATAGAAAAAAATCCCGGTCTTTGGTGTTGTTCTATTGAAGAAAAATAGAGACCACAGTTTATCGGTTTTTTCTCTATAGAAAAGAAATACAAAGCAAAGGTATTTATTTCGATAGAAAAAATTCCCAGAACCAAGGACTTTATTTTTCTAAAGAAGGAATCACAGACTCAAGGTATTTGTTTTTTCCTATAGAAATAAATTGGACTTGAGGTCGCAGGATTTTTTCCTACATAGGAAAATATATGAAAAATACTAGATCAGACTTTTCCCTTTTGAAAAAATTCTGATATCTTAACATAATAAATTCCTGAAACCAACTAAAAATTAACGATATTGACCCATTTTCGGTATTTTGGCGACTTTTCAACCGAATTGGCTTTAATTTGATATTTCTCATTGAGTGGTAAATCTTTCTACCATAAATTTTAAATAAGAATCGAGGGTATAACATTTTAGGCCTTTGAATGATTCTCATAGGATAACTTAAAACAATTTCGAGATTTCAATTACAATTACCCTTTTGTCATCATATTTTTCCCATATTTTTAAAATTTATTCAGAATGTCCAACAGGAAATATTTAAAAATAACACCAAAAATTCCTGCGAATAACCGATTAGGCGATGCAAGGCGATTGTGGTGTGGCGTCTTTAATCTCCCGATGAGGTGTTAAATTTGTATTAATTAATTGCGAATCGTAAGCTATAAATCGTCACATTATCCGATTATCAGTTAAGCTGTTCATTGAACATTCCGTTCTAAATTTAATTTGCATAAATTAAGAAAATCTCGTTTTGTCAGGCATTAGTCATTGCAGGGTAGGGTAATAATTTTTATTATGAAATTCTTATCTTGATTTGATTTCTTTTTAAACCACATAAAGGCGATTTGTTGTCAATTGTTGTTGTTTATGGATCAAACGTTAATCAGGTATTTTCCGACAATCACACCCAACTGGGTGGTCTTTGGCCAACATCGGAAGTTAAAAATACATTTTTTTTGTATTTCGTACAGTTGGGGCTGCTTAAATGGAATCAAAGACTGGTTTCCTGATAAAAGAATTTAATTAAGACAGAGGCTGTTGTAAACAACTTAAATATCAAAATAAATACCATGGCCATTTTCCTTACAACCCAAGCCCCCCAGACATGAGTTTATTATTTTTGCCCACAATAAAACTCACAAATGAATTCTTAATTACCCAAAACCGTCTCGTGGTTACAACAACTACTAGATTTTTGCTGGCGTTGTTGTTATTTTTCACATGAATATCAAATTAAAAAGTTATTACAGCAAAAAATAAAAATAAATAAAAACACCTCGAGACACAAATCCCATGATGACGATGATGGGTGTCTGTCTGGCAATCAAATGAAGATTATTCCGCAGCCATGACTGACAATTACGACTGACGAGCAATTCATAAAGTTTAACCATAATGGACTTGTCTTGATCATCTTCTTGTAAATGTAATTTGCAGACATTCCTACGATATGACCATAGTGCTTCAGTACTTCAGATTTCCCACACAGAGCCACAACTGATGCTGGCGGTACAATCCTTTTGTTGTCCACAGCCGTTGATTGGTCAACGTCATGCAAAAGGAGATCTTGGCGATTTTTATTGCCATAATTTGCCACTATGTTGTGATAAAAATTGTATTTATTTTTATAAAAATTGATGTTGCAACTTGAAATTGTATTACTATTAGCCTCCATAGCTCTGTGTTAATCCAAAAGGAAATCTGATGGACATAAAATGCCACAAGGCTTTATTTTCTTTCTTCAGTGGAAGTTTTGTTTTAAAATTCTTTTGATTGGACATTATGTGAAGATTAAGAATTATTATGTATTAGGTTGGGGAAAAAGAAATCCATTATTTTGTTTTTGTGTAAATAGTTTAAAACAGTTAACACTACCAACATGCCGGTCAACTTCGCCAATTGAATGTATCAAACAAAAAACAGCCAAATAATTCTTTTATTGCGAAATGTCAACCTTCCAACGAGCATAAATCTGAAATTATTTCATCGATACTTTACTAGAAATCTATCAGTACAGCCATTTGCCGAAAAAATAATGGATTTCTTTTTCCCACAAACCAACATTTTGGAGTGTATATTAGGCTGGGAATTATAAGAGACAAAATAATTTTCTTTTATGATCTCATCGAAAAACAGTCCTTAATGACACAGATGCTGGTCATGGAGTGTTGTCTGTCTCCCTTCGTTGGAGCTAGGTAGTCCCAGCTTGTTTAAGAAAAAGTGAAGAAAATATTGGTCTAATTTTTCCCATTACAGGAAAAATTTACTGAGACTCTTATTTTTTTGAAAAGGAAATATTATGGACCTGCTGTTTATTTCCTTGCTGAAAAATGTTTGAGAAGTTATTATATAAAGGACAAACGTAAGAAAAATTTTAGACTTTTGCCTCATATTTATGCCTTAGGGGAAAATCCTTAAATATTCAGTACCCCATGTGGCTATTAAAGAGGGTAGCAAAAGAGTTTATATAAATGACAGGAGGTATGTCTTCATCTCATCGATGCACATCATATGTTCTCATAGAAGATATATAGGGTTTTATAAAATTGTTTACGGATTTTGTCACATATTAAAATACAAAAATACCTATAGGACTTTCGACATAGGACCTTTGGAGTTTCTTCTTCTCTATAGAATAAATGAGAGTCCTCAAGAATGTTTTCTATGAAAAGTATAATACAATAAAAAATGTCCATATGTAAAACAAAATTGAGTACTGGGCTTTTGAGCATTTTACCTATATAGAAAAATTATGAGAACTGGGATATTTAAAAAATGTTTATCTAGGAAAAAATATGAGGCCAATATTCTCAGGAATTTTTCGTATATGAAAAATATACCTAAGATATCGAAAATAATTTCTTACATAAAAAGTATGGGGCTTAGGATCTGAGGAATTTGATACCTGTCCCTGTTCCTATAAAATTAGACTTAGGCCTCTGGAATTTATCCTCTAAGAAAATTGTGATATGAGGTCTCATTAAAAGTTCTTATAGAAAAGTTAAAAGAACTGGTCTCAGGATTTTTTCTATAGGAATTGAGACGAAAAATGTAATTTATTTTAGGTCTGAATTATATATAGGTTATTCTGTTTCTTATTAAATAATATCTTTTGGCTTCGTTTTCTATAGCAATACCCTTCAGTGCACTATAAGTTACTTTGGTATTGTATACAAATACCCCAGATCTTATATAGGAAAAATTTGAGGTCTATAGTCTCAATAATTGGGGTCTCAGGAAAGAATACTTTTTTCCCTTTAAGAAAAACAATAGACTTTTTGCCTAAGCAAATTTTCCCATAGGAAAAATATAAGAATCTGAAAATGAGTTTTTTTTTTTTCTATAGAAAAATATGCGATCAACCGACTTAGATATTTTTTTGAGACCTAGTGTCTGAGAAATGGCTTTTGAGACCTGGTTTCTTAGAAGGCTATTATGTGTTTATTAAAGAATATCTTTTGGTTTGGTCTTCCATAAGAAGACTCTAAGGTATTATTCCAGTGACCCAAGGTATTATTCCTACACGAATTAAGAACTAAAAAAAAACATGGGTCTCCTGTGGTCTAAGGAATTTTTTGTGTATAGGAAAAATATAAGACCTTTTATGTAATGATTTTTCTAAAGGCAAAAATATGAGACCTGCTGTATAAGGTATTTGTTTCCCTGAGGTCTATATAGAAAAAAAAAATTGTGACAACCTTTTCTTTTTGGCTTTCCATAAGAGGTCCTCTAAAAGAAGACTTTCCAGCCTTTGAAAATTAAAACATTTAGTATAGTAAAAATGTTTATAAGAAGATATTTTTCTATAGGAAGCCCTGGTTGTTCTTCTTCCGTTTGTGTTTCCGAAATAAGACCCTTGAAACTTATACAAGAAGACGCCTATTTCTTCTATTAGAAATTCTGTTCTCTTTTCAGAAGACCTCTAGACTTTCTATAAGAAAACATCCTCTTCTATTATAAGGAAATCTGCTGGATTTCCACAATAAAATCATCTGATCTCTCCTAAGAAAACATTCTCTTCGTCCATTTCTCCAATGAGTCTCTTAACCAAAAAAAATCTAAACATCTCTTGAAATCTTTTTAGCAACAAAATATGATTTTTGACACATTTATCGGTTTTTTGTGGCCATACAAAACGAGGTAATGGCCATCGCTCGCCATTCATTGGTGGTGGCTATTATAATCCAACAAACTACTATTTAGCCACCCCTCCTCCTCCCCTCATAAACCTAGCCTCATCGACACTTTCATTTTCGGTTTATCTGGTTAACGAGTTTTTTTCTCGTGCTGTTAACTTTTTTCTGTTGTTGTTGACTTTTTCTTTATGACTCCCGCATTCGATTTTGGGTTCTGTTCTGTTGCTTTTTTCGCACTTCAATTTATGGTTTAACAGCAGTTTATGGTCAAGCGAATGTTTTTTGGGGGCCATATGAAGACATATGGTTATGTGAAGCGGCGGCTACTACTATTGCTACTGTTTTCTGGTCAGTTATGACAAAAATCCCAATAGAATTGGTAGGTTTACTTGCTTCTCTAAGGAGGGTGGGAGATGAACAGTGGGTAAAAGTATGGAGATATTCAGGGGAAACTAAAGTTTATATATATGTCCGATTTTGATTTTTAAAAATACGGATTTTGTTATTAATTTTCAGAATAGACTTTTTGACTCAATTATTGAAATTTTTTATTTTGAAACGGCTACCTTGATTATGATTACAAAAAATATCTGATGGATGTCATATATGTATACCCTTCACCATTAGGCGAAGCTTATATAAACTTATACATTCCGTTTGTAAGACTTTAAAATATTGTGCGACATTTGGTACACACCAATATTAAGGAATAGACCCCCCATATAACACTACGTCTAATTTTCGGTATTTTGGGGATTTTAGAAACTCTAATTTTTGTTTTAAGTCCTCATTGGTTGGATAATATTCACACCGAAAATTATAAATGCCGACCGTCCAGGTCCAGATTTCATCTTGTCTGCCACTGTTCTCAGAACTTTGCTCTCCCACTGAATATTTTTATCGTCGTTTTTTTTTTCATTTCCATATATCGATGCATCATAGGTTATCTGTGGCAGAATGTCCTGTCCAGCTTCTCTCTCCCCCACTTTCCTTATTTCCACTTTATTATTTTGTTGTTGCTGCTGTTGTTGTATATTCTCTTGTTAAAATTTATCTATAGTGTTTTTATGTTTTGCTGTTCATTTCGAACTATTCCCAAAGGTACTATTCAATTAAGTGTTCAAGAATTTATGTCTGCAGTACAGCTACCGAACAACGAAATGATAAAAAAAATATTTGGACGGACTATTTTTTAAGCTTGAAGTTATGCCTGCATTTAAATGAAGAATTTAATTCTAACAAATTGAGGTATTTTGGAGAGGAAATATATTGAGTATCGTATGAAGGTATCTGTATATGCAATTTGGGAATTTTTTCAAACGCCTGAATGAATGCATATTGGAACACTTTACTGGCAGACAAGGGCGTTAGGGACAAGGGAATTTGTTGGCAATGAAAATAATTTGGAATCAATGTAAAAGGAGTCAAATTGAAAAAATTAACAACAAAGGAAAATATTATGAAAATTATATTCAGTTACCTTAAACTGTGTTTTAAGTTTTTTTTTGGGTCCTCGAACAAATTATATAAACAATCTATAATTAAATATAAAATATGTGATATACAATTTTTTTTTTTTTGATTTTTCAAATACATCAATAATTATTTTCTCACTATATTTAGCAGAATTTCATGAAATTCGAAGTATAACATGAAAACGAAACGTAAATTATATTCGAAAATTCTACAAATAATTCCCGGAACATTTTTTTTATTGCACATTAATGTCATTTAATAAATCATTATTTTTTGCAGGGATTTATCATTTAATCTTTAATGCAATGACAACATTTCATTATTCAAAAAGTGTTAGCAGAATTTTTTTATATCTAATGGCAGAAAGAAAGTATTTAGAACGCATCTCCTGAAACACATATGGGTGGTCAATATGATTGTATGAATTCAACTTCTTAAGCGAGGGTAGTTTGGGGCGGTTTTAAGTAAACAAAAAAAATTACATTTTTGATTTTTCATCTAGGATCTGAAGATTTGTGGGGGAGATACCAGAGATACCAGAGATGATGAACCTATATAGGAGATAGTTTAACTAAATCTGCGGTTAGTAAAAATATTAATAGAATCTGGTCAATTTTAGACAACACAGGTTTTACCATTCGCATTTTATATAATGCCTATTTTTTTAATAAAGTGTTGATTATCTGTGCGGAGTTACCGGGAGAAGAAGCCATACATGCCTCGTGTTCGTATTTAATGTAGGTTTTGGTAAACATATTACGATGTACCATCAGTGGATCAAATTTAATACTTTATTCGCTTAATACGAACGTTGACCATTTGTGGGGCAGGTAGCAGAAGGATTGGAATGGAGATAGACACATGGTTCCTTTTGAAATTATGCATAGAATCACTTTCTGAGTCGATTTATGCATGTCCGTCCGTATGTCTGTCCGTCCGTCTGTAGATGTTAAATTGTAAACAAAGTACAGGTCGCATTTATGATCCGATTTGAATGAAATTTGGCACAAAAATCGGTTCAGATTTAGATATAGCTCCCATATATATTTTCGTCCGATTTAGG